CAGGGCTCTTTGGATCAGGAATGCTGCTATATGAGAAACGTGTTACGCAGGCGCCGGGCTGTTTTACATGCCGTTCCCTGCTCCTTTGGAGCTGAGACATGGAATCACTCATCGGCTGCGTCACGGCATGCCGCTGCCGAAGCCCCCACGGTGTGAACGGTGGCAAGGGGAAGGGGACAAATCCTGCCATTAATATTTAAACCCAGCACAAATCTCGTTGTTTGCTCTTAAATGTTTATCCAGCTCCCCAGCATAATTGGGCGGCCTGTTATCTGCCGGTTCGCGTTGCACGTGTGGGAATCTGCTATTACAACCCTTTCTCTAAATCTTTTATAGGAGAGCAAAATGCATTTACAAGCAAATTTGGGTTTTATTTGGAGGCACGGGAGGCGCGTTACTAATTTGGCTGCGGACTGAACCCCAACGTGCGAAGTGCTCAATGTGTTGCGTGGGAGGAGGAGGTTTTATTTAGCTGCACGCCGCTTTCCTTGCTGCTTGGGCTTTCCGTCACTAACGCTATGTGTGAGCAGCGAGTCCCGAGGGTAGCCCTGGGAACCCCACAAAAATGCAGCTGCTTTTTGTGTCTTGCTGGCTCCTCCACCTTTCCCTGTCCCAGCAGCCTCAGTGAGGGCCAAAGATGGGCTGATCTTAGGTGGGGTGGGGCACCTGAGGTGTCTGTGCCCTCCTGGTCCCTATAGATGCAGCCAGGTGACCCTATAGAAGCAGCTGAGATGACCCTGCAGGTCTGGATAGCTGCAGCAGGGAGCAGCGGGTGGGATGGTGGGGAGGAGGATATTAAAGAGTGGGAGCGTCTGGGATACCTCACGATGGGGCCGGATAAGCGCTGGTGGTAGACAGATTAGTCTTTGGTTCCTGATAGGGGATAATCGCTGGCTTGTCTGCCCTTTATCTGCGAGATAAGGATGGTGTTGGGGGAGGGAAGGAAAAGCCACAGAAAAGCTGAGACGGTCAGTATGGACTGTCCCTGGCATAGTGGGTCCCTCGTGGCTTACGGCTTGGCCACCGGCAGCGGGGGAGCAGGATCGGGGCACACGCGGGGCTGTGGGCGAAAGCCCTCTTGCTCAGCCAGGGGCCCTGATTTCCTTTCTGCTGCTTCAGCTCCCGTCCCAATTATGTGGTTCTGTTGGCTATAAATTATTCTGCAGAGGGAGCAGCATCCTCCTCTCCCTTCAGCACAGTGCAGGCTGCGCCTAGAGCTTG